CACAGTGTGGTGTGCAGTTTCATCACGCTGCATTGTCGGGCCCTACTTCTTCAAAGAAAACGGTCACACCCTTACGGTTACTGGATACCGTTACTTGAGCATGTTAAGAGAGTTTTTCGATCCAGAATTACGCCGAACAAGAATTTCTTTCAACTCTGTGTGTTTTCAGCAAGATGGTGCAGCTCCTCACATAGCCCAACCTGTTATGACAGAATTGGGACGAAAATTTCCCAATAAGCTGATATCCAGAAACTCCACATTCCGTTGGCCACCCAGATCGCCTCACCTTACGGCACCTGACTTTTTCTTGTGGGGTTATTGCAAACAGGAAGTCTACAAAGCAAAACTAACAAATTTGAATGAACTAAGACAATCCATTCGAGAAACAATTGCGGCTATTCCTGTCTCAACTCTCCAAGCAGTAATGAATAACTTTTTGGTAAGATGCCGCATATGCATCAACGAGCAGGGGGGGGGGGCATTTAAATTCCATTATTTTTAAAACTAATTCATTTATATTTAATAAAATTGATTGAGCTTTAACACGAATAAAAGAAAAATGAATTGCATACACTGAAAAAAAAAAAAATTATTTGAGTTTTTTAATGTAGCAAAATTCATCAGCCACCCTGTATTTGTAACGTGCAATGTGACTTCAATTGAAACCAATTGCCCTTGCACAACAGTCGCTGCACAATATGGTGGGAGTAGAAACAGTAATAAACAAAACAAAAGGAAAATATGTTGAAAAATTATTACAAAAAAGAAATTATCTTAAAGACTCTCACTTCGCATTTATTATATAAAAGGCGATAACAGATTTTATACCGAAAATTTTTCCTAATTTTTAAGGACGCTATCTTCCAATCTACTGGTACTGTTAACTACCAAAAGAATTACGGCAGAGGCATTAAATTTTACCTCCGAGATGGTATGAGGGGGCTTCTGAAAATTGGGTGATGGGCGTGGCACCGCCCACTTTTTGGTGAAATCCTATATCTCGGGATCCCACTAACCGATTTCGACAAAATTTGGCATGCAGCATTATTTTTGTATTTTTTTGTGACGTTGTGAAAATGAGCAAAATAGAACAATAACCACGCCAACTTCTCATACAGCACAATTTTAAATAAAACTTGATTCCTGCAACTTGTAAGAGTATAAAATGTTCGGTTGCACCCGAACTTAGCGCTTTCTTACTTCTTTTGCATATATATTTTTCGTTCTCGCAATTTACTTCGACGTCGTCGACTTATCTCGTATTGTTCTTTGTGCATTTTATTGACACAGATAAGCGATAAACGTGCCACATACGCGAGTATTAGCAAAATAAATATTTATGAAAAACAGAAAAAAGCAAGATCTCTCGTTATTTAATTTAGCCACGGTGAGCGACTGCACAAGAACAGGAATGTCAGAAGCGTAAAAATTGGAATATATTGTATACAAACATTTTTATGTCGTCATTCAAATCTGCTTTGTTATGAATGTAAACATGAATGCGAATGATTTTGTACAAGTCACGTTGCATTAGACAACAAAAACAACATATGGAATGCATACATAATTCAGCAGTAAAGTCAGTCATATTTCATTGAACGCGTTTGTTACTAAAGAATAATACAAACAAATACTTAGAAATCATAAAATATTGCTGAAAGGTAGAAAGTTTGCGACAGACAGTTACATAATATAATTTTATTTACACAATTTAACGCAATTATTAATTTTCATTATAGTTCAACAAGAATTGAGTAGACTTTTAAGTGTTTTCAGGGTACGTTTTGGCACAAATCTTCAACGTGATTATTTGTACTGATCGTGTTTTTTGCAAAAAAAACAAAAATATACATAGATTTAACTCGGAACAGAGCCTAATTTTTAACTATTTCAAACTATTTCAGAAATGTTTTCTGCCGTGCCCTAAATGTTGCCACGAAATACAGAATAAATCGATAATTGAGTTGAAATTGATGGCGGTGGCCAAACATGGTTGCAAAAATACAAACTATTGAAGAAAATAATGGATACGAGAAATGCAACGAATACACGGAACCACAGCAACCACGCAGAAGAAAAAAGCAGCGGAGTTGTGTGGTGTAAATTTGGCAAACGCAATACGGATATATCGGTTGATTACGTCGACCGCATTTCTTCTGGAAGCAACATGTGAGCATTAGCGGTTTATGCAAAAGAAAATGTGAGGAAAAAGAGCGGACTAGTGTTCACCTTACAGATAGGAAAAATTTACAACAAATATCAATTTATAAATACATACATATGTATGTCAAAATGGCAAGTGTTTTAGTTTACTTTTCAAAAAGACATCGTGTTAATGTGATAAAAAAATTTAATTTTGCTAATTTAATATCAAATCACCATTTTTTATGCAGATCATTAGATTAGGAATATTGCAAATACACACAATTTAAAATGAAATTGAAGCAAGCCGGACCGGTTTATTCTGCGCCATTACAGTGGGACTTACACTACAAAACGGGTGCTGAAGAATGCAATAATTCTTAGGTTCCCTATTATGTATTGAAAACATAGCATGTTTAACGATACTGTGCTTCTTCAGAAAACTTGTCTGCCCTCTAATATTAGTGCAGGAGAGCATAGTCAACTTTCCTTCGCCGCTAAAAATTTGAAATCTATAAAAAATCAACTGTGAGCAGATTAAGCATTGTCTAAGCAACTGGCAGCGAACGGTGTAAGTATTAGCAGCAGTTCAGCACTGCAGCAAGAAGAATCACCAATGCAAATGCTCAGCAACCGCTGCGAGCACAATATTAATAATAATGGCGTAAATACACGATCGATGCAGACGGATGCAACTGCTACAGCAAACGGCAGTATATCAGTCTCTAATCTTTAGTTTCGAAGAATGGGCGGGGAGTTGTACGCAAATACTACACTTGTGTAAATTGCATTTGTGTATATCAAACTGCCAGTCTACCATACACCAAGATTGCCCACTGCTCAATTAGGGGAGAGAAATTCAAATTTAGAAAGTTGCACTGATACCAGCGCAACGCCACCGCTGACAATCAAAAACAAAAGCAGTTAACAAAATTGGCTACAAAGTTTATCCAGACAATAAAGTGAAAGGCAAAAAAAAAAAAAAATAAAAAATAACAAACAAACAAACAAGTAAGGAAGAGCTAAGTTCGGGTGGAACCGAGCATTTTATAAGGTAAGAGGTATAGCAAGTATAAAATACTCGTTGTGAAACCTAAAGGGTAAAGTATTGTTCCGATTTTATCAATTTTCGCCATCATTATACATATATTACCAGAAAAAGATGGACTATGAGTTTTATTAAGATATATGTATGTGGAATAAAGTCAAACCGATTTTACCCTTGTTTCGCATATTATTATCGGAAAATGCTACAAGAATTTAAATAAAATATCCAACAAGTTTACCAATATTTTCGGTCAAAAATTGGCTAGATGGACTGAGGTCCACATATTCGGTATCTGAAGGCTTTCGAATTTATTTTTCGTTATTAACAATTCCATTAGGCCTGATATGGCATATCTAAGAAGCCCTATTAGCGTGAAGATTTATCTCGACATCTTCTTTGGTGTTTGATTTGTATACTGTGAAGTAAAACAATCATACGGAATCTAAATCAGTCTTTTATGGGTAATAATGAATAATGTTATGCGACAATCGTAGGATTTTACAAATTTTCGCTGTTGGAGCAAGTTGCGAAAAGTCTTCAGAATTTCCGCAATGCAGAAATATATTACTTAAAGCTGTATGGATATTATTACAACTTACCTGCAACGACAGAATCATGCTTAATTGTACGGCGTACAATCATAATAGCGTCATGTAGTGAGCGTTCGGTTTCCTCAAGGAATTGTTCGGCGCCTCCACGCAAAATCAATGTGCATGTTTTGGCATTAGGACAACCTTTTGCATGTAAAATAAAACATTGTTAAAATAAATTAAAAAAATTTAATAAATTTTTTTTTCACCTTGGAAGAAGTTGAAACGTTCTCCACCAATTTGACGGTCCTCAAAATATTCACAATGACCCAATACAGAGGCGTTTATATCGTTGGCAGTGGTCATAACAGCGCCGCCGCATGCCTTCATTGTACGCTTCAAATCTTCTTCAGGTACACGACCTGCACAGAACATGTCACGATCTGCGAAATACTGTGTAGCAACATCACCAATTGGTAATTTGGACAATACAACATTAGCACCAGATGCGTGAATTTTGTCAAGTTTTTTGTATAAAATTTGCCACTCGGCATCAACGATTTTCTGGTACTCTTTAACATTATCCACCCTCACTTCGGCATTATCGCGTTCGGCTTTTAGTTCCAATTCTATATTTAATAGAGCTATGTTGCAATTTTTATACGATTTCGGTGCCATTTCGAAACCAGCATAAGAGAATGTCTTTTTGAAAGCAACACCAGCTACAAGTTCGGATTCCTCTAATGATCCACCAGCAACCTTTTTGATACCAATCATATTCAATGGTAACAACTCATCCAAGGAGAGTACGGTTTCTACAACCATTTTTGAGAAGAAATCCTTCTGCTGGTGAATTAATTTTGAGGACATTGCTGTGGCAGCACACTTTTCCAATAACACACGTTGCTGTTCCTTTGATTGAGCCTCAATATGTACAGCCATTTCATTGATCTTGGACATGCACAATTGGAGCGCCTTACGAATAGCTTTAATAATGATACGAGCATGCACACCTTCCTCAACGAAGGGTTTGACTTGTTTCAAAATTTCACCTGCCAAAAGCACAACTGATGTGGTACCATCACCAACCTGTAAATATAAACACGGTTAATCCCAAGTTATTTAAAAAATTATAATATTAATACCTCAGCATCTTGGGATTTCGCTATGTCGACAAGTGTTTTAGCCGCGGGATGCACAATGTCCAAAAGCTTCATTATTGTAGCACCATCGTTTGAAATTGTCGCCTTACCCGAAGCATCAACAATAAGCTTGTCCATGCCGCGCGGTCCCAAGGTGGTGCGCACAGCGTCCACGATGGATTGACAAGCATTGATGTTGGATATGAGTTGCGGCTTGCCCTGAGAAGTGTCAGTTCCTTCCTTTAAAAGTACAATTTGCGGTTGCTGTAAAAAATTAAAAAATATTAATATAAAATAAAATCAGAAGCATGAATCAAATATTTGTCAGGGTGTTGTCATCGAGCACGCCGCATTACACCAATACAAGAGCACACACAGCCGTCTCTAAATAGTGCATGCGAGAAGATTCTTTGAAGGTTATGTTAAGTAGAAGTGTATTTACATGTTTTAATTACTGTAAATAATGTGAGCATTTAAAAACTATAAATTTTTCTTTACTATACAACGAAATGTTAAAAAATTATTTTAAACAAAAGCGGCATGTGCTTGAATGCCTGTTCTTCTTTGCATCCTAAATTACATACTTCAGATGGACTGTTAAGATATATCGATAATTACGCCCATTACCTTTGCGAATTTTCACGTTATAATAATTTATGCATTTACTTACCATATTTAATTAATTGTATGGTAGTACAGTGAATGGTTTATAAAATATTTATTAAATTAGCAACAGCGGCTTTCTCACGCGGCGAATATAATTTCAACGATTGCGATGAGTAACAAAACTTTTGACAGCTGAAAATGTGTGTGTTGAGGGAAAGGGATAGCTGTACATGATTGCCAGAGACCAGAGCTACCATCTCACTGGTTTCAAAATATACATGGTTGCATTTGCAGATACAAATTTATTTATGTTTATTATTAATTTTATTAATTAAAACCAAATTTTTAAAATAGTTGAAATAGTTAAAATAGTTGAAATTACAACGTTTGATGATCACCTCTAATTGGCAGATATTATTCATTTCGGACTACCAGGCTTCAATGTACAAAGGATATGTAATATAGAAAATATAAATTAAACTTTTGTCAAAATGTCGAATTATTTGTCAATATAATCTCCTTTTAGCTCGATACACTTGAGCGAGCGATGTTCTAGGCCCTTTAACCTGTCTGGAAGTCCATTTCCTGTAGTTCCGCAAAGTATGCTTTTTGTCTTATTCGCCTTAAATTTCTGTCCGATCAGTGACTTTTTCACGTTTTGCAAACCAAAAGGAGTGATACAGAGTTAAATGAAAAGAACACGGTAGAAGAGACAGCAGTCGTGATCCAGATTGAGATAATGTGGGCTGTGGCAACGACGAAGTTGTGAACCGATGCATTGTAATAACAGAGCCCTATGTCCGTTTTGTCCTTCTCTACGTCGTCGATATATCTCACTTTATAGATCCCAAATAAAGAGCTATGGTCACGGCCAACTCGGTTCATAGGATAGCTTTCGCCATTCTTAAGGGTTTACAGCCACTTATGAATTTGAAAAAAATCGATTTTTTGGTATAATCGTTAGTATTAGTTTCGGATATATTAGGATTTCTCAAACAACATTACACACGTTTTTTTCGAGACGCTGTTTTCAAAGTCGCTGAGGAAAAATTCTCCCAGACGGTTCTACCGATAAGGGGTGTCATGCTAAAGTCATGCTTGATGCACTTGATACCCCACCTTTGATGAGGTTCGAATAGCATTAGGCGCCTGCAGAACAACATAGCGGCAGAGGCGGATGGATTACTGTCCGAGCTATTCCATTACGGCGGCAGAAATTGACAAGGTGCATATATCAGCTTCTATTCAAGATATGTTCGGATGAAGGCATGCCCGACGATTGGAACCTAAGTGTGTTTTGCCCAGTCCATAAAAAGAAGTACCCCACAATCTGCACCAATTACCGAAAAGCCTTCTTAATATCACATAAAGCCTAAGATCAACAAACTTATTAGACCTTATGAGTGTGGTTTTAGACCTGGAAAATTTAGTATCGACCAGATTTTTACTGGGCGCCAAACCTTGGAAAATACCAGTGAAAGGAAGATCGACACAAATATCCTCTTCGTCGATTTTAAAGCAGCTGACGATGACCCACACCAAAAGCTCCGTCAGGATCGGGTGGGACCTCTTTGAGCTGTTCGATACCAAGCAAGGTTTCAGACAAGGAGACCCCCTATCATATCAATATATTGCTAGGGAAAATAATACGAGCTACAGCTAAATAGCGAAGGTACAATATTTTATAAGAGTGTACAGCTGCTGGCGTACGCCGATTATGATATCATTGGCTTCAACAACCGCTCTGTTAGTTCTGCTTTCTTCAGACTGGATAAGGAAACGAAACATACGGGTCTGGTTGGGAACGAGGACAATATGAAATATCACCTGTCATAAAACAACCATGACATTTGGAACCAGCATCCACACCAACAACAATATCAGTCTTGAAATCAGACGCAAAATCACTCTTGCCAACAGGTGCTACTTTGGACGAGCAAAGACTATACTCTATACGTCTATCATTATGGTATTTACGATGACAACATCTGATGAGTTGACTTTAAGAGTTTCCGAGAGAAAGATTCTGCGTAAGATTTATGGTCCTTTGCGCTAGGCAACAGCGAGTGATATGACGACAGTGACGTAGTTCAGCGAATTAAGAGACAGCAGCTGCGCTGGCTATATCATCTTGTCCATATTGAACAGAACATTTAAGGTAGTAGGCATTCGATTCAGTACCCGCCGGTGGAAGCAGAGGAAAAGGTAGACCTTATCTTCGTTAGAGAGATTAGGTGAAGAAGGACCTAGCTACACTTGGAATCTTCAATCAATGACCACAGTGAAGGGGAGGAGCGACTGGCGTGCTGTTCTGAACTCGGCTACAGCCGCGTAAGTGATGTCAACCTCAGCAAAGAAGAATTTTGACACGTCCTGTTTAGATATGTATATGTGGATTATGATCGAAGTAATACGATTTTTGATAGAAATGTGGAGATTTTGAGCAAATCTAAAGTTTAATTTTTTACAAAAACGACTATTTTTATGTAGCAACTTTTTGGTATCAAAATTTTGCCTAACCCTAGACGAGATTTGAGATAATTTTTTCAGTAAAGCTTCCTCACCGTCTGAAATCTTTTTTTCGGAGGTTTTCCTAGAGGTCAGCTGGGATTAAGAGAAACCAAAATTTTCCAAAAGTTTCATTTACAGAATTCAATGTATTTTAAAATCGATCATTCTTTTTGAAACATTTTGGATTCACTTCATCTCACGGCCTATCTCTAGGAAAACCTCCTAAAAAACGTTGTGAAGTGGATATAACTTGGAAAACTTTGTTAATTAAAAATAACATAACATTTACAGAATGCGAATGTTTAATGAATAAGAAATATTATTTACATTAAGGATATTTTATAACAGTACTTAAATAAATAAAAAAAAATAAGTATTGGAATTTGTCTTTATTTCTCGTGAAACTGAAGTTAATGATGAGTACGAGAGCCAGAAGCGGCGGCCTTAATGGGCTGCTGTATTCTTTGCCCGCCAGTGCGTATGTGTTTATGGTTCACAGCAAGACTCAGAGTACGCTGCTTGCGTGCGAATGCGTTCAACGTGTCGTATGCGTAACACTATTTTTAGCTGCAACAATTTCATCTACGAACAAATAAACGAGACGGAAGAGCAAACGCATACGCAAGGAACACATATTCACACGCACCTTTGACAGCTTGAACGAAATTTGTATAAATAATTACGTGTGTGTGTACGTGTGTGTATGTGCGCGCATTTATATTTTCATTTCGAACGCGTTGCATTTTTTTGTAGAGCGCAGTTTGGGGAAGCAGAATCACATACACGGCGTTGAATTGAAGTGTGGAGGGCGAGGAGATGACACAGTGGACATGGACATCTTCAATTTGATTTCAGTTTGCCCACACAACTTGAACGAGGCAGTTGTCATTGGGAATGAGTAGAAACGAAACGAGAAACGCGAAAAGTGCACGGAGGGGAAAGAGCAATAAAGTTGCAAGTGTAAAAAAAAGATGAAACAAAAACTGCAGCATTTCAGTTACCAAAAATTCTAAATCTAATTCGGTAATATTGAATTGGAAATTTAGATGCAACCAAAAGAGAGAAAACAAAGGACTTGAGCTATGCAAATCATCCTTAAAATAGTTTTAAAGATATATTTGCAACAAATCAGGCAGACTGTATGAATTCGTGCTAAAATTGGATGCAGCACACACAAGCCATACGTCCGAAGGGTTTAGTGATAAGTGCCAAATGAAGTTTTGAATTGGCTGAGTTTTTGAACAAGTTGTCTCAGTGCTTCGAATGTGCTTTAGCGATAAGGTTGGAAAGATTAAAGCCTTTGGGGCATACATTTTTTTTTTTTACATTGAAAATGCGTGAATGAAACGGTTTGTGTGAAAATCGCGCAGCAGTGCAATTTGTGTACGAAACTGACATATTCCATGCTTGTGCAATTAGTTTACATAACGGTACAAATATTGAAAATTATCGCATGATAAGCGAATAAAAACGTGAGTGCCTGTAAGACAGTGTGAGAGAGAAAAAAGACTGCAAACCAGCAACAAGTGAACGAGATAAGCAGGAATGCTGAAGCAAAAGTAGCGACGACCAAAAGCATTTATGTAAGTATGCTAATGTTAGCTTACAGCTAGAATTACGTTTAAGCTCAATTCCTGTTGCAATTGAAGATATATTATTCCTGGCATTATATATTGGTAGTCGAGAAAGTATTTTCGTATTTTGTCAATTGATGTCGTTGGAGTCGTATATCTTCAGTGCTACCAATCATATTGTGTCATACAATATAGTGTTGGAAAAGTGAGATTTTAAGCATCATCATGATCATTTAACCAATTGTAATAATTAAATTCGGAGAAGTTGAAAAAAAAAGTTACAGCTGTTCAAAAATGTGTAAATTCAATGAAAATATTCGCTTTATTTTGAAAATTTTATATAAAAAAGGGAAGAATGTACGCAAGCCACCAATAAAATTATTTTGACGGGGTATCAGCTCATGTAGCACAACAAGGGTTCGCTCGACTCCGTTCTGGAAATTTAGTTTTACACTGATGGAATAATATCTCTAGCGGAAAAATACCAAAAATTTGTAGTCCAAAATGGTACATATTTCTTTATTTATTTATTTATTGTTATAATTATTAAAAAAAATATGTTGAAGTTTGATAAAATACGAAAAGACTTTTTCGACTACCTAATAAACAAAAACAAATTTTGTTGTCATAATAATACGGAACTTCTTGAAGTTTGTGAAAAAATAATAGACCAAAATTAGTATAAAGTTTTGAGTGCGAAGACACTTGCCAGACATCGTCTGTTAGTCCGCCTTTTGGCACAAATATATACACATATAGGACATACGTATGAATTCACACCCACCCTAGCGCACTATTACAAGTTTCATAGTGCTCTTTTGCTTTTCATTTTGCATATTGTGTTTGCACCGGCATTTAACCCAGTTCCGTGTTTTTACAATTAAAAAGAACACCGCAGCGCTGGTGTAATAGCCTTAGATTTTTAGACGATTTTAAAGTTTTTGTGCGTAAATTGTTTGTTTGTTCCGGATTGTTGTTGCATTTTTGCATTTTATGTGCGAAAAATGTTGGCAACCTTAAGTAATTTCGCTTTTTTAGTGCAATTTAAACACGATTTTTTTATAGTGTGAAATATTGTATCGAATTATTATATATTCTTCCT